ATGGTTGGCCAGCAGTATGGCAAGACCTGGGGACTCCTGGGCCCAGAGATAGTGACATAGCCACAGAGGACTAAAGTGGAGAGTGAAGCATCCAGCTGATAAGAAGAGAGGGCATATGCACAAGAACACCCACACTTGCAGATAATACCCACTTGACCTGGCTTCAATGGCCGGATGATTAGAACTCAACTAGAAGAACAAAGAAGAGTTTAAAAAAAAAAAAAGTAATCTGATACAATTTGATGAACTTTGACCTACACCTATGGATGCAGTAGCTCAAAAGAGGGAACAAATCTTTACAATGAGGATCATTCCCATCCCCTCAGTACACAGGGTAGACAAGGATGGGCAACTTGGACATTGGCTACCCAAAATGAGGGGTCTACAAAGGCAAGAAGTGACTGGCTTACCAGCTTTCAAGAGGGAACCTAGATCTAGAGGGCATGGAGGAAGGGTAGAATCTCCAATGAGTAGTATCCAATCTGTCTGGGTGGGGCTGACGAAAGGAGATGGGGATAGGTTTCTTGTGGTACAATAGTGAATAATTGCTATCAGGACTGACTATGAGGGTTGGAAATGTAAAAGTAGATGTTTTGTAGCAAAAGGAGGGGAGGGATTAACTTTGCAGTCCAGGAGCGGAGGGCCCTGGGACCATCAAAGGAGAAGAGCAGAGTGCGGGACCCTAGCCAGAGAAAGTGATGCAAGAGATAGAGGCAGAGACAATGATGTGGAGAGATGGAGCAGCTGGGGACTCTAGACCCAGAGAGGAAAAGGGGCTGTGTGCTGACGACTGGGGCAGCAGGTTTGCAGGGTATACCCTTTAGTTGACTAATGATGCATGGTGGGGATTGTAACCATGGCAATGAAATGGTATACGATAGGATGAATATAAAGTTAATATTCTCTCATGTAAACTCACATAATTCACAATAAGAACTTTAAAAAAAAAAAAAAAAAGACAAAAGGACAAAGAAGCTAGTAGAGATCAGAGAAACTGCCTGTCACCAGCAAGGAGAGCCAGAAGCAAAGCTCAGCATTTCCGCCCAGGTCCTTGTACTGGGAACTGTATGGATCCAGGAAAAGATTGATGCCAAGACACATGATGGAGGTTTGCAGGGAATGCAGAGCCTACAGATGCTGAAAGGTGTGCCATGCAGTGAATTGCTTTTTTGTGGCACTTTTAGCCCTGCTCTTTGCGACTCCCACCAAAAGACTGACTGGGACCATGCAGATTGGGTGTATTGGAATTCCAAAACAGGAAAAGAAACTCACCTGTACAGTTTCTGCTGAGAAATTTTTGTCATATTGGTTCTTCTTTGTTAGGTAACTTTTTGTTTTTCCCAAGCTGCTCTCCAAAACCTAAATAAGACAATGATCCTTTCCTTGTCTCACTTGGGTTTTGGAGAGTTTGATTATGAATTGTCTTGGTGATTTTCTTTTCGGATCTGTCCTGTTTGGGGTTTGTTCAATTTCAGGTATGCTTATCTTTTCATCTTTCATGATGTTAGGAAAGTTTTCTTCCAACAACTCTTCACACAAGTTTCTTTTCCTGTTTTGGAATTCCAGTCACCCATAGGTTTTTCCTCTTTATGGTTTCCCACATAACTCTTAGGCTTTCTTCGGATTGTTTCATTCTTTTTTTGATTGTTCTCCTAGCATACTAGTATTGAGAGATTTATCTTCAAGTTCACTAATTCGGGCTTCCATTACTTTGAATCTACTCCTTTGTCCTTTCACTGTATGGTCCATTCCTGAATTCTTAGTATTAATCTTTCGGGTTTCTAATTGCAGGTTTTGTATTATTTCAAAACTTATTTTGTTTGTTTGATCCTATAGTGTTTCCCTGAATTTGTTTAAAGTTTTTTGTGTGTTTTTCCTTGCTGTCCTTGATGTTTCTGTCAGTCTTTTGAAAGTACCAAAATATCATTATTTTGAACTCTTTCATTTAGTTCTGTTAACCTTTTCTTCCTCAGAAACATGTTTCCAACTCTGTGTCTGGTCATTTGTTTGAGCTATTCTCTCATTTCTTTGTGTGAGCAAATGATCTGTTGTCTGTGGGACATTGGGCTGTTGTCGTATTTGTGTTTAATTGATGATTGTATATTGATGTGTTATCACCAACTGTCTTCTGTAAGTGTAGTTAGAAAATGGAAGCGTGTATACTGTTTTATTTGCCGTTTGTTCACTTTAGTTTGGGGTGTAGGTGGTGTTGGCTGGTGTTTATCATTGATCAGGTGGTATATTATGTTATTAAGTGCCGTCGACATGGTTCTGACTCATTGCAACCATGTATAGGGTTTTGCAGGAGCAGCTGGTGGGCTTGAATTGCTGGTTTTGTGGTTTGCAGTCCAGTGCTGATCCTATAGCACCACACCAGGTGTCAGGTGGGATAGGAGCTGATATCAGCTGTTGCTCAGTGGGTGGACCTGCAGAGGATCCAGTATTGACTGGGTTTTATGGGCACAGTTGGTGTCTCCTGTCTGATGGGAAAGAGAAAAACCCTCCCACACACCCACACAAAGAAAACAAAATAGAATAAACAAGCATGGAACCAACAATGAAAAAAGGACATAATAAAGAGAAAAAATAAAAACAGAGAGTAACCAGAAAAAAAGAAAAGAATATAATAGCGATAAAGACAAAAAGAGGGACAGAGAAATGGAGCTATAGAAAAGAGAAAAAAAAGGAAGAAATTTTTGAAACACTTAGAAAAACTAGGAGAGGAAAGATAGAAAGAGAGCGTAGGGAACACTAAAGGAAATACAAAAGGGAAAAAATAAAAGGGGAAATGAGAAACAGAAGAAATGAAGGAAAAACAAATTGAAGGTAGAAAGGATAAAATTCAAAAGAATGGAAAGAGAAGGAAGAGAAAGAATAAACAAAAACAATGAAACAACAAAAGGAAAAAAACAAGTCAAAAACACCACAAAAAACAGTGCAGCTGTTAGACCCAGAGAGGAGAAAACTCTGGGGAGCTCTTGCAACCTGAGAGCTCACAAATTAGGTGTGAGAGGAATGTGACAGCAGAGTTTCTAGCCCTACATGGAGTTCCTATCAGCCCGTGTAATCTGTGCTCAGGGCACTCAGTCTGAAAGTAATACATGGAGGCGATTTATGGAGCTTGTTTCCATGTCTTTTAGGACTACGGGAAAGCTAGGGGCAGGGTGTTGGTCTGGTGGTTCTGTGGGTTCTGTAGGTGTGCAGCCCAGCCCACCTGAATCCAGCCATCAAAGCAGTGCATTTGGTCACTGCCTCACACTGGTGTGGCTTCCAGCCACATGGCTTAGAATTCCCAGAGAGCAGGATCTGAGCTGGAGGAGGATAAGGATGGCAGCTAGCCATACCTTGGGGCACCAGGGGAGCTTGGGGAATAAGAAGGAGTCACACCTTTCTGTCACCTATGTGAATCTGCTCAGCCAGGCTACCTTCTGTTTCCAAAGCTTACAAGATGGCTTTGTCACATCTGGTGGGGCCATTCACCAGTCAGCCTCTGATCAACTTCTCCTCCCAGCAAGCACTCAGTTCACTTCTCTAACCTTTTCTCTAAAGATCAAGGCTCCAGGTTTTCCACCTCATGTCTGTTTCATTTGGTCTCTCAAATCTTTGTTGTAGAGGCCCATGTCTTCCATCTTTCCAGAAGTCCTCCGATAAATGAGTTTTTGATACATGGACGAAGTTTGAAGACTTAATGCTGAGTGAAATAAGACACAAAAGGACATATATTGTATGGCCTTACTTAATAAAAAGAAAGATAAGAACAAGAGACTATATAATGGCAAAAGCTTATTAGTGGCTATCAAGGACAGTAGGCAGAGGGAAAAGGGAATTGTTGCTTATGAAGTACTGAGTTTATGTTTCAAAGGCATAAAACAATTCCAGTGCTAAGACAGAAGTTTGGAGTAATCACTAGTCTTCCTAATGCCTTCCAACTCCCCTAACCACTCTCCTTTCACAGAAAACTGAAGATGACCCCAGATTTCTGCCTTAGAATAGAATTTTATGATTTGAATCCCTTTAGTTAATAGATCTGAGGTAAAGATCTGAAGGAGGGGAGAGCATTCTAAAACAGGACTATGCCCTACTTTCCTATAATTTACCTATCCCCATGTATGGAAGATCTGTCACTGCCTGACAGTTGATCATGTCACAAGGGAAACAGATGAATATGGCCTAGTCTCTGGCCTCAAGGAGCTTATATTCAGTAAAGAATGAATTTTAATCCAGCCTTATACCCTAGATAAGTTCTATAACAGTGGTAGAAAAAGAAAATGCTTTTGGAGCACTGACTAATTTTGCCTGGGAAGATTGAAGGCTCCATGTGTTATTATTGGAATGTGATATTATCAGATAAAAAGGCAGGTAGAAGGATATCTTAACCTGAGGTACAATTTGACTAGAGGCATGGGGAGTTGTAGGTGGTGGCCTTCAAAGTAGTGGGGTAGACCACATTATGGAGGACTTGATTGTCTGGCTAGGAATCATGGGCCTTATCCTTATATGCAGGATACCATTGTTGTTGTTGTGTGTGCCATTGCGTTAGTTCCAACCCATAGCAACCCTATACAGGGTTTCTGAGGAGTGGATGGTGAGATTGAACCGCTGACCTTGTGGTTCAAAGTGATTTTGCAGTCCAGCTCATTAACCCACAGCGCCACACCAGAATCTTAACCAGGTGCACGACATGTTCAAAGCTGTGTTAGTAATAACACTGTAGTGCTCCTAGGAAGGATACATTGAAAGAGATGACATTCAATGCAGAGAAGCTAACAAGAAGTTGCTATAGTGTACCTGACAAGAGGTAGCTAGGACTGAACTGGAAAGAATGCAGCCTATTGATGTGCTCCCAGATTTCTAATCAGTGAATGGAAATGTCTTTAACCAAAAAGAGAACTAGAGGAAAGCATCAGGCTAAAAGGGAAAACACAGGATGCATTCTGGACTTGCGGATGAAGCTGCAGCGAGAGCTGGTTAGAGCTGAAGTGCTTGTGTTTGTATTTCAGATGGTGACTCTCTTTCAGATGTGGGTTGTCCCCCTCTATTTCACAGTGAAGCTGCACTGGTGGAGGTTCCTAGTGATCTGGATTATTTTCTCTGCCATCACTGCCTTTGTCACCTTCAGAGCCACCCGAAAACCTCTCATACAGACAACCCCAAGGTGAGAGTTCAGGTAATGGGGAAGAGCCCAGGTATCCTGAAACTAATGGGTTGGTATGCAAGGAGCTCTGGTAATGTAGTGGTTACGAATCGGGCTGCGAACCTACCAGCCGCTCTGTGGGAGAAAGATGAGGCTTTCTACTCCCTTAAAGATTTACACTCTCAGAAACCCTGTACAGGGTCGCTATGGGTTGGAACTGACTCGATGGCACTTAACAACAATGCATGGAAGGAGGGTGATTTAAATAGGAAAATATACAGTTTTTGTCTTCTGAGGTTATTTGACATGGGACCCCTCCATAACAAGTTGATTGGGAGTCCCATCACCCCTCTGTTCACAGATGAAAACCCCAAAACCTTTCTCCACAACTTAGGATTTAAATAAATAAATGAATCCTGGTCTTTCTGTGGTTTTGTTTTACATTTTACCTTCTGTGAACACTTCTCTGGTTTTTAAAGTAGATTTTGTTATATTCTCTTAATATAGCCATAGTAATTTTCCTTTATAATTTATTACTTAACAATTTTTAGCTACGTATTGAATGTCTATATCTTTTATTAAACTATAACTATGAAGTCAGGTACCACATCTATTTTGTCACTGTATATCCAGACCCTGGCATTTGGACTGGCACATAGTAGGTCTTCTTTATGAATTTTAATTGAATGAATGAATCCTAGCAAGTTTGCAATTTTCCAACAGTGCTTTTTTCTTGGGTCACAAAGCCCCTGCCTATATAATTCTTGTATTTTATTCAAATATATCCTTAGTTGATCGTCTCAACTAGCATGTGAGGTGATTTAATATCTGTATTTGACAGAAAAGAAAGATACTTTACATTCATTCATTTGACAAGCACCTGCTGTGTGCCAGGCTCTTGTGTTGAACTCTGGGATACAGACATGAATAAGACATGGTCCCTGCCCTCAAGGAATACTTGGTTTCATAGAGGAAATGGGTGAGAAAGCACCTGTGGCAGTGCCGTTGGTAAGTGGGAGAGAGGTGTGCACACGTCCAGGAGAGCCCAATGGAGGAACTAGCCACTCTTCAAGCTGTGACCACGTGACCCAGAGTCTCCTTTGCATACTGTACTTCTTTGTATGCCTCTTGTGCTCTGCTATTACTGTCTTTCTCTGGCCTTCTGAATTTCTTTGTACAAAGTAAAGTTTATCATCAAGGTGAAGTTAGTGATCCAGAGGCCCCTGTTTGGCTGGAGTTGTTTATTTTAAAGACCTATGTAGAAGGTTCAGACTCTGGAGCCAGATGGATGAGGACTGGAAACCTGCTCTGCTATTTGTTTGTTATATGACCAGTATGACTTTACCCTTCTGAACTTCAAATATTTTAGCCCTCAAAATGGGATAATACTGCTAGTTCATACAGGATGATTATGAAGAAAAAGTGCAATGAAATATATTAAGAATCGCCAAATAACAGTGTTAACTGCTAACAAGCTTAGCTTGCATGACTGAAACTGTGTCTATAACATTTTGATAAAACTAACCTTTGATAGTGCTTTACAATCCAAAAGCATTTTAATAAACATTAATCCTTTCAGCATTTATTGAGCACTTAATATGAACCAGGGAAAAAACCCTGTACAGTCCAATGAGGAAGATAGCATGGTTTTCCTCTTTTACAAATATACTTGTCTCAAAAAATAATGTAATTTACCAGGATTATTCAACTAGTAAAATTTACCACACAACCCAAATTGAATTGCTTGATCTGATAGTCCACATCCTTTCATCTTATTACCTTAAGATCAGTGCAAAGTCTGTGTGTGGTCCTGAGGTCAGACATTACAAATTGTTTGGTGTTTTTTCCTAGCCTCTGAAGCCTTCACTCCTGGCTTAACCACAGCAGGGAGGCACATGTGGGAGGGACCTTTAAAAGCCTGCAAGGTTGGTTAGTAACCTGGTTGACTCTGAGGGACTAGGCAGACTTGTGTTTGGTTATTTAAGCAAATGGCTAAATTTTTCTCTTTTCACATGTAGGATAGTAGATTCTGATATCAGGGACTTAACCGCCATAGCATTTAAAAGGGTCTGGTGCATTCAGCTGGGGGTAAACAATCCAATTCCACATTGCTCTTCATTGGATTCTGAAGCAGTGGCCCCCCCCCTTCAGAAGCATTGAACAACATGCTTCCCTTGTTGTTGTTGTTGTCAGGTGCCATCGAGTCAGAACCGACTCATAGTGACCCCATGCACAGCAGAACGAAACAATGACCAATCCTGGGCCAACCTCACTACCGCCACCACACTTGACGCCATCAATGATGCCACCTGGCTGATCCATCTCATTTGGGGTCTTCCTCTTTTTCTCTGACCCTCCACCTTACCCAGCATGAC